CTAGACAATTAAGGCTCTACTAAGGCTTTAGTAGGTACTAAAGTCTAAGTAGGGGAGGATATAAGATCCTTAGCCTACATACTAAGGAATTACACTATACTTACTAAAGTAGTGTTATGCCTAAGTATAAAAAACTCTAGTCTTAGCAGCCAAGTAGAGGGGATATAAAAACACCTCAAAACCTTATATAGATAGCCGGGCCATGAACCTTCTTTGTTAGTCAAAGCTTTCACAGGGGTACGTGTATTTCTAGTTAAGCCGGTTGTCCTGTCGCATGCTGACACGTCACGTGATGTGATGTCGCGTGCTGACGCATCACGTGATAGCATATCACGTGCTCGTGTGTCACGTTGCACAAACATCTCCCCATATTCACTTTCAAACTTGACGATGCCAACAAACCCTGCATCGCCATCACCGCCATCAACATCAACATCCTTCGTCTCCCCTTGCATTCCGCTTGTCCATTGTCGAAAGCCAACGGCACGTCATTCTCACATGTCGCTTCTACACACCTGGCAACGCCGTCGGCATCCACAACGGGCTTGCCAATTCGGTGCCACTTATATCCGGAAAAGAATTATGGCAACTTCACGTGCGACTTCACCTGTGATAAGGGGCTATATGAAGCCCTTGCGCTGCGACACGCGCTTTCGGAATACTGCCGTGCCTCTCCCCGACACGGCTGCCATACAAGATGTCCACCTTAGAGTGCCAATTTCTTGACAATCTTCTCGGCAAGCGCCTTGATCGTCAAGGGCGAAATGAGATCAAATATTGGCACATCGAGCTGACTCTCCTTGAAGAACCAGTTCCGCACTTCGATTGCAACCAGGGAGTTGATGCCATATGATGGGAGGCTGCGGTCAATGTCGATGCGGTCCTCCGACACAGCCAAGCATTTGGCTGTTCGTTGTACGAGCATCTCGCAAATGATCTGCTCGGCCTCTTCGGCCACCTTCACGGCACCGAGACGCTTTGCGAAAGGAACACTCCCCGATTGCTGATCTTGTCCTTGGTTTTGATCACCGGTCCACGCCATTCGCGAGAACCTAGCATCTTGCAGGTAGAACGGTGGCTCGATGCCCGCTTCGAGCGCTGCTCTGGCAGACGCAATCCCCGTTGGCACTTGCGGTGGGATATTGTTGATATTCGCAACCTGATCCTGGATCGCCGTCCGAACCAGCTTGTGCAGCTGACGTTCACCAATACCAAAACAAGCCCACTCTCTGAGGTTGTCGGTCATACCTGTCTCTGCGAGCACGCCAACGTCTTTGATGATGCCCAGGTCTAGTGAAACGGCCTTCAGACCTTGGGTACGACGCCAATGCGCAAGAGCGTCTTGGTAAGAGCTGCCAGCACCATAACTTGCCTGTCCCAGGTTCCCAAAAAGTCCCGCAAAAGAAGACAACATTACAAAGAAGCCAATATCTTCAGGCAGCACTTCTTGCATGTTTCGGCTTGCTTGAATCTTAGGCATTGTAGCTGCTTGCCAGTCGTCGAAGGTCAAGTTTTCGAAGGTGGCATCGCGGAACACGGCTGCACACTGAAGCGCTCCATGAATTGGTGGCATCTCTTTGGCACATTGTGCGATTGTTTGTTCAAGTTGCTCGCGATTAGCTGCGTCGCATGCATACGCTCTTGCGTTTACGCCCCTGCATTGCAGATCCTGCAGCAGTGCTTGTGCGGCAGATGACCTTGCACCTGACCTGCTCAAGAAGCAGAGGTGTCGTGCTCCAAGCGTGACCAAAAGCTCGGCCAGGCTTCGTCCAATCCCCCCAAGACCACCTACGAGCACATAAGTGGCGTCTACCCGCAGCTCAGCAGAAGCACCGCCGTCTCCCATCACGGAGACAACATCGTCATCTGGCCAGGACAGAAGCAATTTGCCGGTATGCTGGCCTGTCTGCATAAGGCGCATGGCATGTTGCGCTCTCGAGACCGGGAATATCGTCCGAGGGGCCGCTGGCTTGCAGATGCCGCGCCGAATAAACTCAAGCGCGCCATCCAGAAGTGTCGTCGTGAGCCTCGGGTTGTCTCTGATGATATGCTCCACATCAAAGGTGCTATACGTTGCTCCAACGGCGTGATGTGGCTGGAAGCTCTCCAAAACGGCCTTCCCTACTTCCACGAACGTACCACCAGGCGCGAGGGACGCCCAACTCTCTCGAAGCATTTCCCCTGACAGGGAATTGAGTACCATATCCACTCCTCTACCGTGCGTCAGTCGCCTGATGGCCTTGCCAAAGCTGGTGTCTCGGGAGTTAAGGATATGGTCATCCGGCAAGTCGTACATCTTCTGGATCAACTCTCGTTTGGCCGGCGAGCCAACGGTCACAAACACTTCCATGCCAAAGCTCTTGGCGTACTGGATAGCGACCTGGCCTAGTCCGCCGGCACCCGCATGGATCAAGACAGACTGACCGGCTTCCGCTTTAGCGATTCGGACAAAAGCATTGTACGCTGTGCAGTGCACCACTGGAACGGATGCAGCTTCTGCCAAGTCCAAACAGTCTGGCAGACCTCTGCAGGACGCCGCTTTCACTCTTGCGATCGAAGAATGCATGCCAATGCTCAAACACAGGACCTGATCGCCCGGCGAGAAATCTCGAACACCCTTACCCGTTGCTATCACGGAACCGCTACCTTCTGCTCCCTCCATCGTTCCAGCGACGCGGCCCATTGCAATCATGATATCTTTGAAACTACACATGTGGGCATTAGTTTCGGCATCACAAACTGAAGCGAACGTCTCACTTACTTCAATCCCGAAAAAGCAACGCGTACCAAAAGCTCGTCTTCCTGCAATTCGGCATGCACGCTTTTGTTTTCAGTGAGATGGATCGTATCGAGTTGACAGAGCTCGCCGATTTGCAAGCTCCGCGCGACTCCGTTCTTACCAAGAGGCACGCTCTCGTTCACTTGTGTCTCTATACCTTCAATCCGGTCGGTGAAGGGAACGTCCTCCTCTATACGCGTTGAACGTGCAATTCCGTCCTCTGCGACGAAGAACTCATTGTCTTTTGTTTCGGACATCGCAGCCAATGATACAACATCAGCAACATGACTGCCTTGCGCGCTCCTAAAGTGCAGGGTGCGAATTCTCGTGGCAGCATCCTCGTTACGTATGGTTCGAGCCATGCCATCAATTGCGTACAACGATGGGTCATCACCGGCTGTCACCCACAGCACATCGGACGCTGTGGTGAAAACCCTTTGCAGCTCTGCAAATGTCTCTCGATGCATATCTGCAATGAGCGGCTTGGTGACCTCGACCAGAGAGACGCACCTGGCGCGCTTCAGCAAAGGCTCGTACGACGCTGGTGGGGGCCACGCAACGCGTACCGGACGATATCCTTGCTTTTCAAGCTGTTTTGCCACCTCCTCTGCAAGAGCGTTGCATGTTGATGTTGGCTCTGGCGATTCGAGGACGATGATGTCTCTGGCCTGGAATTGCGCTACCCCAATTGGATTTGGGCGGGTAACGATCAAGTCAGAGCTATCGCCGGGTACAGTCGCGTGGACATGGAAACCTGATTTAGTCAAAGCAGCCTCGAGCTGTGCTGCAAGACCGATTGCACAGAGATAGCCCAAGGGCTTCAAGAGGCGTTTGACCTCTTCTAGAAGCTTTTCGAGACTCGACGCTTTTATAACGCCTGTCTGTGACAGCAGAACAGCATCATATGCGCCCGGTTTAAGAGGCTTGGCACTGCGGAGTACGCCCATTTCCCTCTCCCCGTCATCCCATTTGGCCATATCGAATTCGACGATCTTGCGCAATTCGGGTCTACCTTCTGCGTCAACACCCTCTTTGTCTGACAGCTCTAGTACACGAGCATCTGGCGAATTGTGGCACAGTATTTGAAGAAACCTGTCCAGATTCGACGCTGATGATGTCTCTCCCAATACATGTGGAAGCCTTTCAGGTGCTGTCAGCTCAAGAGCTGGCTCGCTCTGGATGCGACTGACAACGTTGTATGCTCGGTCTTGAAGCTGTGGCTGACCAGCAATCTGAGCAAGTTTGAGTCCAGTCAGCGACAACACTGGGCGCTGCGACTCTGGATCCAAGGCATGAATGTCACTGAGAAATGTGTGATGGCCACGTCGTTGAACGTGCGAGTAGACTGCAAGCTGCTGGCCTTCGTGGCAAGGGATGCTTTCAGCGATCACAAGCTCGTCAATTGCGGTTGGAATTGGCGTACGCGACACAAGCCCTGCGGCAGCCATGATAGTCTGAGTGATGGGATCGAACGTCGCCGGATGGACGATGAATGGGCGTTGCGAGCCAGGTCCATCGCGATGTCCGCAGGGGTTGACGATGTCGACAAGACAAAAGCTCTCCCCGTCACCCATTCGTATATCTACGATGTTCCGGAACGCAGGTCCAAACTCCAGTCCGATGCGAGCTAATTCGGCGTAGAATGCATCTGGTTGGGCCGGCCGATTGCAGGAGTTTCTTGCTCTCTGAAAGCGCAGACGAATCTCGTCCTCGTGTGCAGCTAGCTCTCTGGCCTCCTTTCCAGTCTCGTCTCCCAGAGCGTAATCAATGCTGATGTAGCCTGTACAATTGAGCTTAAGGGATGTGCCGTCGGAGCATGATGATATGGAGAACGAGAACCATTTGTCGTCATCTCGTTGCATTTGGCGTACACAAAGCGTCATCTCCGTGGCTGCAGAGTCGTTCATTTCCGCAGCAGCGAGGAAGCGCACATCACGAAGCCGGAAAGCTCGAATGGCGCGGTTTTCAGTTGCCAATTGTCTGGCTGCTTCGATTGCCATTGCAACATACCCGACTGCTGGGTAGACAATCGTGCCTTGGATTTTGTGATCTATGATCCACGACTCCTCACTCGCTTTGATGAAGGCTCTCCAGATCCGCTCGTTTGCAACGAGTTGAGGCATTGGCGCTCCGATGAACCTGTACGCTGGATGTGGACGCAGCCGATAATCTCGGTCCCAGCGGGAATGAGCCCAGAATGACTTCTCGTGGTCCCAAGCATATGACGGAAGATCTATGAGGAGCGCCGGAACACTGGCTTCATCTAAATTGTTGACCTTCGCGAAATCGACCTCCAGGCCTCTCGTGAATAGCTCTCCGGCCGTAGCCATGGCAGTCTCAACACCGTCTTTGCCTCTTGTCAGCACGGAGAAGTAGTCTTTGTCTCCTTGTGGAGGACTGAGACTGGACAGGGTCGACTTGACAGGTGCTGCCAAGGCCGAGTGCGGTCCAATCTCAAGCAAAGCATCTATCTGCTCGGAGCCCATCATGCTCTCTACAGCAGACGAGAACAAGACCGGCGAGATCAGGTTTCGTACCCAGTCCTTTGCGCCCAGTCCTGCTGCCGATGTCGCCCTTCCGGTCACACTGGAGTACATGACCCGGTCTGTACGCGTGGGTCTGGGTTTTATTCCTCGTATGCGCACAAAGTATTCGTGAGAGACGGCTGAGAGGTGCGGAGAATGATACGCTACGTCCGTCTTGAGTTTTCGATTGAAATGTCCTGCTGCCGTGAGGAGGCCCGCCAGCTCATCAATTGCCTTCTCGTCTCCCGACAACGTCACGCTGGAAGGCGAGTTGACACAGCCGACAACTGCCATGCCCTGCCGCAGTTCTGAGATGAAACTATGTGCTTCGCTTGCGGAAATGCCCGCGGCAAGCATGCGACCGGATGGAATCCTGCTACGGCTGTCGAGGTTGCCGCGCCAGTATGCTGCTGTCCAGGCGTCTTCCGCACTTAAAGCGCCAACACAGTAAGCTGCGGCGATTTCGCCACTGGAGTGGCCTACCATCGCCACCGGTGTAATACCCCACGAGTCCAGAAGATCTATCAATGCGACTTGAAGTACTGTGCAGAGTGGCTGGCTAAATTCTGCCTTATGAATGTGTGTGTGTTCATCATCGAGGAGAAGCTCTTCAAGTGCAGACCACTTGCAACCCAGGGCGGTTTTCAAGAATTGGTCTGCTCGCTCTACACTCTTTCGAAAGACGGAACATGTGAGGAGACCGACTCCCATTCGAGGCCACTGGGCACTCTGGCCCGTGAAGATGAAGCCGAGTCTGTACTTGGTTGATGAAGCGCGATGAACCGGCACGTTTTCAGTCCCAAGAGCTTCGCGTAAAGCCTCCACGCTGGACACTTGCATGGACATCCGGTATGGGTGAGTTGCTCTTCTGGTGTTCAAGGTATGTGCCAGGCTATCCAAGTAGCCAGACGATGGCGTCGACTTGCTTCGCAGGTGATCAGATAGGTTCTGTCTCTGCCGCTTTAGTGTCGATGGATCGTTAGCACTGAGTACCACAACCCGACTTTGGTGTCTGGCTGTCGACGGCCTTTTGTCGTTACGCCCGTCGCCCTTGCGCTCAAATCCGGTCGTATTTACTTTAACACACTTCGCAGCCTCCAAGATGGCATGAGAAATCGTGCCGCTTGCACCGAACGAGCTGATACTGATTCGCATTGGTCCTGCCCCTGTGGGCCATGATGTTAGTTCATCGACCACGTGGAAATGCTTTGGGTTGATTGCAGGGTTGAGATTCTGGACACCGATAGTTGGCGGAATCTGCCCTTTCTCCAGGATCAGGACGGACTTGATCATGCCAGCTATACCGGCTGCTCCTTCAAGATGTCCAATCTAAATACTTGTCAGCAAGACCTTCCAGCGGTGAAGAACCCAGCAGAGTTACAGACGTTTGTCTTGACCGAACCTAACAAGATTGGAGTTTTGGCCTCCGTTCTGGCCGCACATCAGCATTACACTTTTGCTCGAGCATGAGCTCGGTCGCCATTCCCAGGCAGTTTTGTTGGCTCGGTCGACTGCCGCCGTCCGAAAGATCTTCACTCACCCCAGCGTACTATGGATAGCTTCCAGCTCTGCCGGGTCGCCTACTTTGGTTCCAGTTCCGTGTGCTTCCTACAGAGAGAAGGTTATTCGTCTGCTGGTATCGGCACTGTACCTTCCTAGCTCGGGGTGCATACAACATATCTCGTCTCAGTCATCGGCAGCCCAGCAGCAGCATAAGTTTTCCGAATCAGCTCTGCTTGGGCGTATTTATTGGGCAAGGTGATGCCGCTGGTCCAGCCATCTTGGCCTACCCCAGTGCCTCGAACAACCGCTCGAATCACGTCGTGGCTTTCGATAGCGCTGCTCATTCGTTTCAATACCACAGCACCGAAGCCTTCTCCACGGCCAAATCCGTCGCCTTCGGCGTCGAAGCTCTTGCACCTCCCACTCGGGGAAAGAAAGTTCTGATTTGAATAGAAGAGGTAATATTCGGGGTTAAAGATGAGGTTAGCAGCTCCCACGATTGCCATCTCGCATTCGCCACTCCTTATGGCTCGACATGCCTCATGTAGCGCGACGAGACTGGACGAGCAGGCCGTGTTGATCGTCATGCATGGCCCTCGCATATTGAAGAACCAGCTGACTCGACCAGAGATATACTCCGGTCCTGTTCCGGTCCATGTATCCCTTGGTGCAGCTCCGGGATCGCGGAACAACGTCTCTCTCCAATCATTGGAGTTGCTCGCGCAGAAACAACCAGTACCGGATTCTGAAAGCTCCTTTGGAGTGATACCAGCGTTCTCAAATGCTTCGTAGGAAACTTCCATCATGAGTCTCTGTTGAGGATCCATCGCTGCTGCTTCGTCCGGCGTGATGCCGAAGAAGTTGGCGTCCCATTTTGAGATGTCTTCTTCGAGAAAGTGACCGGCAGAGGTAATGCTACAATTGAGACCTCCTGCAGGTCCACTGTGGAATGCGTCAACGTTGAATCGATCTGCTGGTACTTTCGAATGCGCAGCTACAATACTTTAGCCAGAATACTCTTGAAAGCAACCGTTTGCTACTCACAACGGCCCCGGCACAATAATTCCCAGAATCTCTCGGCATTCGATGCTTCCCCTGGGAATCTGCAGGAAAGTCCAATTACTGCCACGCAATGGTCGTCTTCGCCAGGGCGATTGGGAGTATGCTCGTCCATACTGACAGTACGGTGGAGTAACAGCTTTCCCTCACCCTCTCGCTCTGACACGTCTGGCAGCACAAGTCTCGAGCTCTCGTGCAAGCAGCCAGCGAACATCCCCTAGCTCGGGAAGCTTACCGGACCGGACGCTAGTCACACTGGGCTTTGTGTTCCTTGCCACATTGGGCTTGTACTGGCTGGTGTGATCTTTGACAAGTCCCGATTTGACAAGGTCTCGCCATGATCGCCCACCATCCCTGCTGGGAACTGCTGTGGGTATCGTGGCGTCGTCAGTCGTTGTCCGCAGCCGCTACCCAGCCCGTCCACAGAACTCAATGCCGCGCTCGGTCATACGAGGCTAGGTGGTATCCAGCCATCTATGCTGCAGGACGAACAGGTGGTAAACAATCTTCGGGGAATTCCACCACGGTAGCTCGTGAGTCGTTTGGCTTTTTCGGTCACCGAAGCATACAAATATACGAGGACCACGGACAACTGCGTCTTGTCAGATTCTTACAAATATACGAGGACCACGGACAACTGCGTCTTGTCAGATTCTTATGACAGAGTCGGTCGTAAATTGAATCTCACCAGGACGGTGTCTCAGGTCTCGAAAGACTAATAGAATGCGTCATTGCATGGCACGTTCTTGCAATCGGACGGGACGCCCAGTGGCACCACGGAAGCGACTCGACTCCGTGATCCAGCGAGAGCAGTCCTGTAGACATGTTGAATAGACCTGATATCGGAACACTTCCTGAGAATGGGAACGACATTCGATCACGTATCTTTGATATGGCTCAGGGCGAGCCGAAAGCATGGACACCGCAAAGAGGACGACCATCCTTCTCTTCGGAGATCAGACTGCCGAATTTGCCACCTCGATACGGCATGTAGTGTCGACGTCCAAGAAGTCTTCGCGTGTGTTGCGAAAGTTCCTCCAGGATGCTGTACACGTCGTTCAGATCGAAATACGAAAGCTTCCGTGCCATGAGAGCAACAAGCCGCTCGATGATGCAGCTTTCCAGCGGCTGCTGGAAGAGCCCGAGAGCTTTGAAGACATGGAAGATCCCATGGGAATCATGCAGACTGTCATGAGCTGTATAGCTCGCCTAGGAGAGCTGATACTGTGAGGGTTGAGCGCGCATTCGAACGCGTTGTTGCTGACATCTTTGTTTAGTCAGGTCGAGCGCGATCCCAGCCTCGTGAGCGACGACAAAGAGCTTCTATCAATTGGCCTATGCACTGGTCTCCTGTCTGCGGTCGTTCTGTCTGCAGCTCGCAACCTCGAAGATCTGCTTAATCTAGCGGCTGCGATGGTTGGAGTTGCGTTTCGATTGAGAGTTGACCTGCATCATCGCTCTCGTCAGATCGAGGCGGTTCATGCAACATGGGGATACTTGGTTGTTGGATTGGGCACGCAAGAGGCCGAGAGAGAATTGGAAAGGTATCACGATGCGAAAGTGTGTTGCACCAGCGGAGAGCGTGTGGTAAGCACAACGTATTGTCACGGTTTGGCTGACTTGTCGTGATATCCAGCGTGTTCCCACTCACAAGAGAGCGTACATCGCCGTAGCTGCAGATACCTGGATCACAGTCTTTGGTGCGCCCTCCACCATGCAACATCTACTGCAGCACTCTCCCGCCTTCAGCCGCGCCTCTTCGACGAAGCTTTACAGGGCAACTGGCGCTGTGCATGCCAATCATCTCCCGCCCGTTGACTTGGAGAGAGTCATCGGTTCGTCCGAGTTGTTTGATCGGGACGTGAGGCGGCCTATCAGACTCTACTCGACAAGTTTCTGTTCGCCTTTCGAAGCTACGTCCATGAGGGATCTCCTGAGGGATGCTCTGGAAGATATTCTCCACCGTCGACTAGAATTCACCGGAACCCTGGACGCAGTTGCGAATGCTGTGCCGCGCGAAAATGAGGCCGATGTGATATCGGTCGGAGCCACGGCCGCGGTCGCTTCGTTTCAAAAAGCCGTCGAACGAGGAGGAATCACAATGTCACTCATCGACGGCGTACAGCAGAGACCACAGGAACAGGGTGTACGCAGTGGCTCCGGCAAGATAGCTATTGTAGGTGTCAGTGGACGATTCCCTGGCTCGGATTCCAGTGTGAATGGGTTCTGGCAGGCCCTTCTGGACGAGCGGGAGATGCACAAGAAGGTTCCGCCTGATCGCTGGAGACTGGATGCCTGGCAACATGCCTTGGGGCCCGATGCCGAGTTGCCGTATGGCTGCTGGCTAGAACGACCCGGCGAGTTCGATGCTCGTCTCTTCAACATTTCACCTCGCGAAGCCGCCCAGATGGAACCGATTCATCGACTGCTTCTACTGGTCACGTACGAGGCTCTTTGGATGTCGGGATACGCTCCTGAAGCCACACCTGCAACAGATCGAAGGCGTATCAGCGCTTTTTTTGGCCAGTCTTCGGATGACTGGAGAGATGTGAACCATCAGCATGGCATTGAAACACATTACGTTCCCTGTATCGCTCGAGCCTTCGGAGCTGGTCGTCTGCATCATTACTTCAAGTGGGAAGGTCCAGCCTTCACGGTTGACAGCGCTTGTGGCTCTAGTGCGGCGGCGATTACTCTGGCTTGCTCAGCGCTGAATGCAGGAGACTGCGACACAGCGTTAGCGGGTGGTGGACTACTCGCTTGTTCTCCGGATGCTTTTGCCGGGCTAGTGAAGGGAGGGTTCATATCGCCTACCGGAGGCTGCAAAGTCTTCCGCGACGATGTGGATGGGTATTGTCGCGGAGAGGCCGTTGCTATGGTGGTCCTCAAGCGGCTAGAAGATGCCCAGATGGACAAGGATAACATCTTGGGCGTCATTGAAGGCCATGCACGTAACCACTCGGCGTATGCGCAGTCCATCACTCATCCTCACCAGCCGAGCCAAGAGAGCGTGTTTAAGCAAGCCTTACACGCTGCTTGCACAGACCCGCGCCAGATTGGCTACGTCGAGGCCCACGGAACAGGAACGACGGCAGGTGACGTTTGCGAAGTCAGCGCAATTGCAAACGCGTTGGGCACAGGAAGGACGGCACAGGATCCCTTGATCATGGGAGCCGTCAAGGCGAACGTTGGGCACGGAGAGAGTGCTGCTGCTGTTGTGGTAAGTGACAAGATCCCCCGAGGCTGCTTGAGACGTCCCCCAAAAAAAGACAACTGACCTCCTATCCTTCTCTCCTAGGCATTGACCAAAGTCTTGATGGTGCTCAAAAACAGAGGACTCATCCCATCTCAGCCCGGATTCGCAGACGCGAAGCTGAACCCGAGCTTCCCAGCGCTTGAAGAGAGGAGCGTCCACGTTGCGCAAGGTCGACATCGCCAGCTGCAGCCCGGACAGAAGATCCTCCTCAACTGCTTCGACGCTACCGGAGGCAATACTTGCATGGTCGTCGCGCCGCCCCCCGAGCAACCTGCTGTCCGAGACGATGATCCACGGACACATCACCTCGTCGTCTGCTCTGGACATACGTTCACCGCTATGAAGAAGAACCAACGACGCTTGCTCGACTATGTCATGGCGAATCGCAACGAGCCAGTCCGCCACCTGGCATATACTACCACCGCCCGCCGCCTCACCCACCATCTGTACCGTGAAGCGTATGTGGTCACGGACATGGAGCAGCTTGGCCTCAGACTGTTGGAAGCACAGGCCAATACCAATGCTGACGCGGGCATTGCGAGAACAAAGTCGATCATGTTCGCGTTCACCGGGCAGGGCTCGTGCTATCGATCCATGGGCAGCGATCTGTTCCAGACCTCGCCTAGGTTTCGCTTGACTGTGGAAAGCTGTGAGGCAGTTTGCAAAATGCACGACTTTCCATCGGTGGTTGCATTCTTCACCACGCCCGACAGACGGCACTCCATGGGCGATGCACATGCAGCAGCACAGGAGCAGCTTGCCCTGGTGTCACTGCAGATCGGCCTGGTAAGCTTGCTACGGGCCTGGGGCGTTCGTCCTCAGCTTGTGCTTGGTCACAGTATTGGCGAATACGCCGCTCTGTACGCTGCTGGTGTCATCTCTCTGGCCGACACCATTTACCTGGTTGGCAAGCGGACAGAGCTCTTGCGTGACAGCTGCACGCCAAGGGAATATGCCATGCTCGTAATCGCCCTTCCCGAAGACCAAGTTCGAGGTGTGATTGCCCGCAGTCACTTCTCCAATACCTGCATCTCGTGCAAGAACACGCCCACTACGACCGTCTGCAGTGGTCCTACCGCGGAAATCGAGCGCCTGCAGGACACGTTGAAACGCGAGGCAGGGATCAAGACTCACATTCTGGAGGTGGCCTACGGCTATCACTCTCCTCACGTGGCAGAAGCAGCCGATGCTCTGAAGAATGTCGCCAAGCAAGCTCAGTTCAATCATCCCGACGTCCCTGTAGCGTCCGCACTGCTTGGGGGAGTTGTTCGAAACGCAGGTACCTTCTCTGCCGATTACTTGGGCAATCACACGCGCCGTGCGGTCGACATGGTCGGCGCACTCAATGCGTGCCACACCGAAGGCCTAATCAGCAGTGAAAGCGTCTGCGTGGAGGTTGGACCTGACGCGATCTGTAGCTCGATGGTGCGGAGTTGCGGTGTCATTCAAGACACACGGCGATTGTTACCCATGCTACGCCGAGAGAAGTCGTGCTGGGTCACTATTCACGAGCTTCTCGCCTCGCTGTACCTGCATGGCGTGGATCTTGACTGGACATCCTTTCATGCGGATTTCCTCGAAAGCCTCCGCTTGGTCGAGTTGGCCCCATACGCATTCGATTCGACAGACTACTGGCGCTCATATCAGTGTGATGCACCACGAGCCATCGACAGCGAAGTTCGCGTGGAGTCTGTGGTCTCCGTACCGTACCTGTCTCCCTTTCTTCACCAAAAGGTCGAGCAGGGTACCAACAAGATGCGATTCATCTCCCGAGTCAGCCACCCCGAAATGGTCGCCGTCGCACAGGGGCACTTGGTCGATGGGACCCCCATATTCCCCGGCAGTGCATTCTGTGAAATGGGATATACCGCCGCAGAACAACTCCTGGAAAATGCCAGTGCGAACCTGGAGGGGGCGTACACGTCCACTTCGGGTATGGTCCTGACCGAGTTGGACATGCGCCGGCCACTGATCATCGCCACTGCCGTCGACGATTCCATCATCCATACCTCTGCAACACTCGATGCTACCGGCATTCTAGTGGAATACTCGGTAACAGCAGGCAGCGAAACATCTGATTTGGGGTCCCTTCGCATCGAACTCGCGCGGGACGGCGCCATCTGTGCAAAGACGGGGCCTACTGCTTCCTTCCTCGTGCGCTCTCGACGCGATGCGTTGATCGCCGCCGTCCGGCAAGGTTCTGGCCACACACTACGCCGTTCAGTCATATATCGCCTGTTCTCTCGGTACATCGGGTACGGAAGTTCTTTTCAAGGCCTGGAAGAATGCTTCCTCAATGAAGAATGCACAGAGGCGGCTGCCACTGTACGACTAGTCCCCCGACCCACTGCGACAGGGGATCCGAAGGCATGCTCATGTTACTGGAGGGATACCGTTTTCCATCTTGCCGGTTTCATGCTCAATGGACATCCTGATGCCCGCCATGACGAGGCCTATATCGCTGTTGGTGTCAGCGGCATTACCTTCGACGAGCCGCTGTCGGAAGAAGCGACGTACTCCGTCTACACCTACATGCAACCTACCGAGACAGGTGCTATCGGAGATGTATACGTTTTCCGCGACGAGCAGATAGTTGCCCTTTGCTCCGATATGGTATATAAGCGAGTTGTCATCGCTCGGCATACGCATGCGCAATCCACGGTTCCGAAGCAGAAGATACCGGGTCCCCCGGTGCAGCGTGCTGCTGAGTCCGCACCGGCGGTTCGCAGGCCACCGTCCCTCAGTACTGAGGAGATCATGGCTCAGATCAACCCCAGCCAGACCAAGCCGGTCGAAAGCCAACACAAACCCGAGGGAATGGGCCCCGAAAGGACCGATGGCAATGCACCCGAGACCGCCGAGTTGATCCTGCGAGCAATCGCGGACGAGACGAGTTGGCCGTATGAAAGCCTCGAGAATGAAGCGCGCCTGGCTGATTGTAAGTACACTCACGAGCGCATCTGCTACCATCGCACGTCTCGAAGCCGTACTGATACTAATCATGTGTAGTGGGCGTTGATTCCCTGATGAGCATCGTCATCACATCCAAGCTCCGCTCTCAACACGGCGTCGAAATGCCATCCGCCAAGTTCCGTAATTGCGAGACCGTTGCAGATGTTCGCCGGAATTTTGGCAAGACGACAGGAGGTAGAACGGAACCTATCCCAGCGTCTCGGGCTGGAGGTGTACCCGCCGAAGATGTCGCGACGCCTGATGTGCATCTGAGCATCGACTCCGTGACCACGAGGAGCGACGCCCCGGAGAGAGCTACCTCGTCACGCTCAAATCCGTCGTCAGATTCAGAACCATCGTCCTCGTCTACTCTTGGTAGCATCGGCGAGACCAGGAGCTTTGCACTTGCTGAGAACGATCCTACTCTGGCAGCCGAACACAGCGTGGAGGTATTCCTGATCAGCGACTCGTCGGACCATGCGGGCCCGCCTCTGTTTCTCGTACCCGACGGCTCTGGTTCTATCACCTCCCTCCTCGCACTCCCGCAATTCCCGTCCGGCATCACCATCTACGGCTTGCATTCGCCGTGGGTGGATGACCCAGGAGCCTTCACATGCACCATTGAGCAGGCCTCACGCCTCTATCTGGAGGCAGTCCGAGCCAAACAGCCGCATGGGCCTTACTTGTTTGGCGGGTGGTCCGCGGGCTGCGTCTTCGCATACGAACTGGCCAAACAACTCCTGGAAGCCGACGAAGAAGTCCTGGGCCTCATCATCATCGACATGCACGTTCCCAAACCCCTGCCGGAATGGATCGACACCACCAAGGAGCTGTGGGAATTCTGGTGCCAAGCCACCGGGCTGGACAACGTCTTCGCGCCCCTCCCCTCCGGCAAAGGCCTCGAGGAGCACCTGATCCAGAACTTCCGCGCCCTGAACAAATACCAGCCCATTCCCATGAAGCCCGGCAAGCGGCCGAAGCACGGCACGCTGATCATCTGGGCGACCAAGGGCATGGGCAATGCGCGGAAGGAGAACTCTGGGGACTTTCCCGACCCGCTGGGTATCGGCAAGTGGTTCTGCTTCGATCGGACTGATTTTAGCCCTCGCGGGTGGGATGTCCTGGTCGGAGATCAGGTCGAATGCGTGGCGATTGAGGGCAATCATCGCAGTATTATGGTACGATCCTCCCCCCTTTTTCACCCCTCCAAAGTACAGATGTCATTTGCGGGCATTTGACTAAGCCTCTCCGTGTACAGGTACCTCCGGAAGCCGAAAACCTCGTTCGAGTCATTGAGAAGGGTCTCGCTAGATTTCTGGGACGTAGCTGATGGGACGTAGCTGATGGGCGTTGGTGGTGCGAGGGGGCGGAAGTGCTTTACGGAACGCTCTGCTTATATATAGATATATTGTGAATGTATGTTGTAGATGTATGTTGTTAGTATATATTGTAGATATGTAATGTATAATCCTCGATTCTCTTCCACTGGCTGACATGGGGCGGAAAGCAAGTCTGAATGCCTCAGGCAGGATGGGACAGTCACGTGATGTTATCAATCACGTGATATCATTTCTTGGCATCGCGCACTACCTTACGTCAGGAGTCTAGAGAGGTACATCTACTTACATATATCTGCATATACACCCAAGATATATATATCTGCATCGATACTTCCCAACTTGGTTAGTTCCAGACGGCGTGGATGAATCTCTGATATGAGCCGGGCCACAGGATCTGCCAGTCGAGGATGTGGAAGGCCGGGTCGACGGCGGAGAAGATGTCCTGCCAGGCGGCCTGCGTGCGCTCCCAGCCGTTGTGCAGGGCGTACATGGACAGGTCCGAAGTCCTCGTGTACTGCTGTTCGTACGTCACATCACTCCTCTCCCGCATCACAATGTCGCAGATGACCACGTGAGCGCCGCGCTTCAGGGCGGGCAGCAGATTGCGGAGGATCTGCAGGCACATCTCGTCCGACCAGTTGTGGAAGATGGCGCGGAAGAAGTAGACATCGCCATCCGCGACGGGCTGCGGGCCGGAGAAGATGTCGTAGGGCCGCAGCGAGATGCGATGTCCAGCCTCGCCGTCCACCAACACACCCCCCGGCTCCCGCTCCTGCGCCTCGGCCTTCGCAATCACCGATGCCATGTCCTCGACCACGAATTGCATGTGCTTCGTGGTCTTGGCGATAGCGAGCGAGCCGTAGCCGTGGTTCCCGCCGACATCCACGAACACGCTTCCCGGCTTGTCGAGCTCCTGCCACAGGCCATACGATGAGAGTCCCTTGGCATCCGCCGCACTCATGATGGCTTTGAAGCACGCTTCGTCCGGAAATCGATCCATCAACCCGACTTGCCCAAAGGCCAGATTGAAGGCCGTGTGCTTGGGATCTTGCGAGCCTTGCCACTTCTCGAGAGCTTCCAACAGCTTCATCATCGACGGCAGCACCACTTCCACCGTGAACCTGCACAGGGATCGAATGCCCGGCAGGCGGAACATCGCAGACACCTCCGTGTGTTGGACCAGCCCGGGCGATGGCTCTTGGTAGATGCCGTGCGCCATGGCCTTGCGCACAATCTTCTCCAGCCCTCGTTGCGGGAGACCGAGCTCTTTCGCGAGATCCTCAAAGCTCTTGCCTTCATCCGGGACCGAGTTGGCAATGTCGTACTGGAGGAACGCATTGAGCACCGCCAAGTCATATACCTACATCGCTCGCCGTCAGACCTCTGAAGGAGCCCGCAGGCTTCGTTTGGGGACAACCTACGCGGCTCATGTACGTAAAGAGGAGCATATCGGGCGTCATCACCTTCATCTTGATCGCTTCGGCTGCATCGATGATTGCTTGACGGGACGCGACGTACGCCTCGTCTTCCTCCCACTCTCCGGGGATGCTCTTGCCGCTCGAAACATGCTTCTCGTGCAGTCGAGCCTGCGCCAACAGCTCCTCTGCCTGTGACACCAGACTCATGATTCTGATGAGCCGAGTGAAGACGTCGAAAGAGACGACAGCTCAGACCAGTCTTGCACAACAACGATGGAGATGACATGGTACATTGGAACGTGGTCCGGCCGATAGACACAGCATGACTAGCATGACTTGCTACAACCACTCGCCATTGCGAGCATGTTGCCATGCCAGAGCTCACGCTTGCCGAAAGGGCACCCGCAAGCCCTTGTGCACGCATAGCTTGAGCTTCCAAGGCTCTGTGGCGTCGGCTCTTTTCCCTTGTGGCCCGTTGATAGGCGTGAGATCAGTGGAGTCTCCCGCTGGGTTAGCCTGACACTCTGCCTCGATGCGGCTATACTCTCCAGATCCAGCGTTCCACCCCATTCGAGAGACGTCGCGATCCGGGAACATCGTGGCCCGCTGTGTAACGTCCACTGTGGACGACTGTGTCCTACGCTTACCCAGGAGCTGACTGACCTAATAGCACTCGCCAATGGTCTCAACCACCCTGTGCTGATCTTTATTATTTGACGGCTGCTTGGCACTATGCTTGCTCTCACTACTACCTGCATTCATTCGATCTTCCGACTCCGGGAGTAACGTGTCCGATACACTGATAATACTCATCATTGTTAATAATAACGTGATCGTATGATTGAAAAGAATGGAGACACTAATCAATCACTTTGCTGGGCGAATCTACCCCAGCTCATTCGTTCTGCACCTTCAGGCCTACAAGGCGTCTTTGTTGGTTCTCCTTCTTGATGGGATCATCTTGTAGCATGTGACATGGCTCGTCACGACTCAGTGGCCCCAATGGCAAAGATGCGCAATCGGTCTTTGTTTCTGCAGGCAAGAGAACCCCTCATACACCGGGGAACGGCGCGTTCTTCAGAAGCTGATCTAGCCAGATACTGTCGTTCGCCTCCACGAGAGACGTGTGCTATCTATGCCTTGCAACTGCGGGCTCGCTGTTACATGGCGCTGTGATGCCCTTGATGACCATCGTGTTTGGCACACTTTCTAATAGCTTTGCGGACATCGTGTCCGGAGAAATCACTGCAGAAGACTTCTTGAAGGCATTGTTGACATTTTCACTCTACTTCGTGTACCTGGGAATCGCAGAGTTCGTTGGCAGCTATGCGATGTGGATCGGGTTCACGCTTGCCGGGGAGAGCATGACAAACAAAATTCGGTATGGAATTTGTTGCGATTTGAAGGCGATACGTACGCGCCTACTGATTGCGCTCGCAGGCACGACCTTCTCTCCTCCCTCCTCCAGAAAGGAGTCGCTTTTCTGGACGAATCTGGCACAGGCGAAGTCATCAATCTCCTTGGATGCGACGCAGACTCCCTCATGGACGCCCTCTCGTTCAAACTGGGCAAAGTCATAGCAGCTCTCACCTCCGTCCTGGTTGCGTTCCTCATCGCCTTTTCTCGCTCTTGGCAGCTGACCTTGATCGTGGGCAGTGGCCTGTTTGCCTTTGCGGCCGCAGGCGGTGCGGGAGCTTTCGTTATTTCCAAGTCTACCACACTGGCCTCTGTCCATCAAACAGAGGCGGCTAGTATTGCGCAAGAGGCGATTAGTGGCATCGCGTGCACTGTTGCAAGTTCAGCAGAAAAGCTCGTCAGCAGTAAGTATCGCAAGAGCTTAGAAAAAGCGTATCGACCAGCCGTTTACGCCAGGATTTCTGGCGAGATGATGATTGCAACGATCACGTCAACAGCCACTTGTTTGTTCAGCCTAGCCTTCTGGAGAGGCTCGCGCTACTATGTCAATGGGCAAGCCAGCTTTGCCGATGTCTTGATCGTGCTTCTTGGTGAGTTGAAGATAGCTAGCCTTTGAATGTGATCTCTAACCGTTTCGCCAGCTGTTCTCCTTGGTACTGCCTCGCTCGGTCTGGTTGGACCTAATATCCAGGCTGTGCTCGCCGGCTTCAGCGCTGCACGCAAGATGTTCGCGACGATGATGAGACCGTCATCTGTCGATGCTGGGCAAGACACGGGCGTAGAGTTGCAATCTGTTCGTGGAGCTATACGGTTCGAAAATGTCGACTTTGCGTATCCTACTCGTCCCGATGTCAAAGTCCTCAACAGCTTCAGCCTCCACATCCCGGCCGGCGGCACTACTGCTATCGTTGGAGCTTCCGGATGTGGAAAAAGCACGATTATCAAACTGTTACAGCGATTCTATGATCCCTTGAAAGGTACAATCCGTCTCGATGGCCAGCGGTTGTCAGATCTAGACTTGAAAGACCTGCGCAAGTATGTGGCAGTGGTCAGTCAGGAGCCAGACTTGTTCAACACTTCGGTGTATAACAACATTCGCTTTGGCTTGCTGCGATCTGGGAGACAACTCGACGAGGACCAGGTTCACCGAGAGATTGTTGCCGCGGCACAAGCTGCGAACATTCATGAAGCCATCTTAGGGATGCCTGATGGCTACCAGACTATCGTTGGAGAGCGAGGTGCTCGACTCTCGGGTGGTCAGCGACAGCGAGTCGCAATCGCGAGGGCTCTCGTAGCCAATCCCAAGATCCTATTGCTGGACGAGGCCACTTCCGCGCTGGACACGGTCTCGGAAAGTCTGATTCAGGAAGCACTGGCATCGTGTGCCGATAAGGATCGAACGGTCATCATCATCGCCCACCGTCTGTCCACAATCAAAACCGCCGATAATGTCGTTGTCATGGCCGACGGCGAAATCGTCGAACAAGGCGATTACGAAAACCTCATAAAGCGACGAGGCGCGCTTTACCGGCTGCAGAATATCCAGCAGCCTGAGAAGGACGTTGTTGGTGCGCATTTGGCACCTTTGACTGCAGATCTGGCAGTAGCCGATCCGGAAAGCTCGACAATCACCCTTGCTTCAAGCGACACAACTGCAAATTCGGTGAAGCCTCTACTTCAGACAGATTTCAAATCGCCATCGCTTCATGCCGGTGAAGAGGACGCGCAGAACTCTGACAATCGAAACCTGTTCGGATTTCTTTTCGATTTCAACAAGCCATCCTGGCTCCAAATGGGATTCGGAATGTGCTGGGCCATCGTCTCCGGATGCGGCTCCACGATTCAAGCTTATTTATTCGCCAATGTAGGTGTGCGGCCTTCACTTATTAACGCTCATCACCGCTGATTCGTCATAACAGGCAGTAACATCCTTCAGCACCAAGTCCCTCAAAGAGTCGAAGTTCCTTTCCACTGTCGACTTTTGGGCTGGTATGCTGGCATTGCTCGCCGCTGGTCAGCTTGTAGCTTCGGCCATTCGAGGTACCTCTCTTGCAATATGCTCGGAGAGGTTCTTGCTTCAGGCCAGAACGCAAGCTTTCGACCAGATGCTTCGGCAAGAGATCGCCTATTTTGACGAAAAAGGCGGCCAGCACCTCGTCTTGCTGTTGTCTACAACACTCGGCCAACTGAACAGCCTGAGCGTGTCCCAGGTTGCCATTTTCGTTGTTGGTTTCACAGGACTCATCTCTGCGATTGCGCTCTCCATCGCTGTCGATTGGAAGCTCGGACTGGTCTTCACAGCCATGGGTCCCATTCTCCTCGCATCTGGCTACCTACAAGGGGCATTCGCTACTCAGCGAGAACAGCATTCCCGGGCACTGTACCACGATGCCGTGGTTCTGGCGACCGAATCCATCGATTGCATCGGCACGGTGGTATCACTGGGCCTGGAAGAAGATCTGCTCGAGCGTTTCCGGTCCCTGTTGACCTCCCAAGCCCGAAGGGCAGCTCGCAAAGCTCACGTCGCCTGCTGTGTGTACGCACTGTCACAAGCCGCAATGTACCTCTGCTTCACTGGATGCTTCTACTACGGCGGCAGACTCTTGGCTCTGAAGCGGACTACCATGCTTGATTTCTTCGTCTGCTATACGGCCATCGTGACCTCTACGCCCTCTACTGGCGCATGCTTCAACATGTTGCCCGAGATCCGCAAGGGGCTCGATGCATGTCAGCAGCTCCTGTCCCTTCTATCTCGGAAATCCGCAATCGATGCTTCCTCACCAGCAGGAACAACCGTGACGGGAGGCAGTGCAGAGATTGCCACATGCGGCGTTGATTTTCGATATCCCACGAGACCTGACGCAGTAGCCTTGCAAGACATCACCATCACGGCTTCCCCAGGCCAATTCATCGCACTGGTGGGACCCTCCGGCAGCGGCAAGAGCACCGTCCTGTCACTCATCGAGCGCTTCTACGACCCTGCCTTTGGCTCGATCCTGCACAATGGAGCCGACATCCGCACCCTCAACCTCAGCGGCTACCGCAAGCGCATGGCGCTGATAACCCAACAGACCGCTCTCTTCTCCGGCACGATCCGCGAAAACATCGTCCTCGCGTCCCAATCCGCCACGGAAGACGACATCAGGAAAGCCATGAAAATGGCTGCTATCGACGATTTCGTGGATTCGCTCCCGGAAGGACTGAACACCACCGTTGGCCACCGCGGCCTCTCCCTATCCGGTGGCCAGAGACAGAGAATCGCCATCGCCCGTGCCTTACTCGGGGATCCGACCGTCTTGCTGCTCGACGAGGCGACTTCTGCGCTCGATTCGACGGCCGAGCAGTTGGTGCAGAGTGCCATCAACGCGGCCGCGAGAGGTCGCACGACTATTGCAGTGGCCCAGAGGCTGAGTACCGTGCGGCATGCGGACCGCATCTACGTGATCCAGAGTGGGAGGGTCGTGGAAGGCGGAACGCACGAGCAGTTGATGCATCTCGACGGCGTGTACGCTTCCATGATTCTCGTTCAGGAGTCTGTCAAGTAGAAGAAGAAGGATGTATTATAATGAGTGTTGTAATCGATAATTCCAGCATTCGAATTCCTAAAAGGCCCCTTTCAGACCACTTGATGATGTGTGGCAAGACCCAGGTCGTAAGGGTATGATATTCTCGCGAACGGAAAACCGTTGTAGATTTGGGTTATTAACACGGGTATAATGAATTTGCCTGAACAATTTCTTGGCACCAATAATTATCGTACACTAATAGCGGGACGTGCTTCCGAAGACCCATGCTCAGGTCCGATAGTATGTATGATAGACCAAGACCCTGTCCTCCGAAAGAGATGTACATATACACCGGACGCCATGGGCAGCACGATTGCCATTCCCATCACTACTTCCCAAAGATGAACCCCCATTGGCTATTCCTAGTCTCTCTCCTCTCCCGGCCGACGTTCAGCCAATTTGTCGATTCTCCTCCTGTGCATGGCGACAAAAAAGACCTTGCGGCGGCGGCGGCGGCGGCGGCGAAGACTCCTCTCATCAGCACTACGACCACCACTCGCGATGTCGTGATACTTGGCGGCGGTGCGGCCGGAAGCTATGCGGCAGCGCGACTGAAGCAGCACGGGCACTCCGTGGCCCTGGTCGAGACGCGAGAGCACCTGGGCGGCCATTCGCAGACCTTTCACCTGTCCGGCTCCTCGGGGGCACCGGTGGAGTACGGGGTGGTCTTCTTCCACGACAACGCGATCACGAGGCAGTTCATGCGGAGCTACGACATAGAGCCCTACCGGAATTCCATCACCGATCCCAGCCACAGGATTGACTTCTATGACCTACAGACCGGTGAGCGGACGGACTTTCAACCGCCCGAGCCTGGGCCTGTGCTGGCTGCGCTCCAGAAGTACGCCGGCATCCTCCAGAGCAAGTACGGATATCTGGAGGCCGGATACGAGCTGCCCGATCCCGTACCGGAAGAGCTATTGATTCCGTTCGAAGATTTCGTCCGACGACATGGGTTGGGCGACTTGCTGAACATTGCCTTCCAGATGGGCCAGGGGTACGGGGACTTCCTGCGCAAGCCCACCCTCTACGCCATGAAAATCGTCAGTCATGAGATTCTGCAACAGGTCTTTCAAGGGTCTCTGCTCCGGATGACCGATAATAGCAGACTGTACGCTCGGATTGAATCCCAGCTGAATGCCTCCGGAGATCTGTTCGCTAGCAGCATGGTCGTCAACACGGACCGAGAACGAGATGTGGACGGCTACATCTCGATACACGTGCGAGACTTGAGAGACAATTCAGTGCACCTCATCCGTGCGTGCCAAGCTCTTGTCACGATTCCCCCACTAGTGCAACATCTCGACCCGGGCTTGGCCCTCGACCCACTGGAGTTGTCTGTATTCTCGCGGTTCGAGTGCCATGGCTACTGGGCCGGGGTTCTCCGGAATGCTGGGCTTCCGGATCTCGAGGTCCAGAACGTCGACTTGAAGAACCCGGGTGGTGTGCCTTCGCTCCCCGGCATGTACGTCTTTGAGGCCACTGATTCGCCCGACGTCCACACCTTCTGGTACGGCGCAGATGGCGCCACGGGTGACCTGGACGAAGCAGATGTGCGGGAAGCCGTGCTTGAAACTATCGACCGCCTGCATGCCGCCCGAGGCCGCCAGTATAATGTCAGCGCTGTTGAGTTCCTGGCGTTCGGAAATTATAGCCCATTCGCCTGCATGGCGAACGTGTCCGCCATTCGAAGCGGATTCTACCGAGATCTGTACGGGCTCCAAGGTTACCGGAACACGTGGTGGAGCGGTGCGGCGTGGCATACCCATGACTCGAGCAAGTTGTGGAGCTTTACGGAAGCGATAGTTAGTAGGATGATTGAGGCACGGCGGTCAGAGCGTCAAGAAGTTCGGCCAAAGCAAGACTTGTAGGCTTCAATGGGTAGATAGGTCTTCAACCCCCTTGTAGGCTTTTACAACGCATCGCACCAGTAATAGAATAGGGCACTTTGCTTTGAGCAGTCCTGTCCGTATTGCTCACGGAAACCTGAAAAGGGATGGCGCTCGCTCTTCAATGTCCCATTAGCACGATGACAAGGCTCACATTCACGTACGATGCTGGTGAAAGCCAAGTGCGCTTGCTGAAATATTCCCACTAGTGGTTGTGGCACCATCTCTCTCCGAGTCGTCCGGGCTCGATGATCTTCGTTGTTCGTAGCTGCGCAAGGGTCTGGCCATTGCTCTCATCATGAAAGTGAGATGCTCTCATGATCGGCCGAAGATACGATTCGCTGCGACACTCCGGCCGTGGTGCCACTCGATCTTCTTCATTCTTGGGCTGCGGCAATCCCATCACGGTAATCCTGTAAGCAGTAATGAGGAATATGGTGGACTTATTCCAGGCCAAGGCGCTGGTAGAGCTGAGCTCTCGGACCCCTCTGAAACTCATCCCGTGGAAATCGTACGTCCGTTCTTAGGGATTTGACAGGGTATCTATTGGTTGAACAACATCTGTGCACAGGATAACAACCCCAACATCGGCTGCTGCCGCAATCCGCTGTTCTCTTGGTAAAGTCCACGGAGCATGTCAAAGGGATGGAGTTCATGAAGTTTTGGCCGGTCAAGTTCCTGGACCGACATGGAGTTTCTACTTTGACGTCTTTTCGTTATCAAGAGCAGGATGAATGAGCTCGGGCTTGACAGATTGACGCTTACTGTTGCAGCCTTAGCTGTGGGAGCGGCTGTCTTGATTGCATTGATCGCTTCCAAGAAGGACCCTCTCCGTCATATTCCTCTAGCTGGCACCGGAAGTCGAAGGGCGCGCGTCAAGCAATACCATCATGATGCCAAGAGGATATATGAGGAGGCTTGCAAGCAGGTACGAGCTGATCAATCCCTAGCAGAAAAGTGAGATCTTGTGTAATGCCTGGAAATCATCGCGCTGACGTCTGATGAGCTCTGCAGTTCAAGTCGCTTTTCCGTGTTGCAACACCGGAGGGTATGTTTATTAGGCCGCATGCTCTTATCATGAATGTCCTTCGACAAACTTCAGAAGACTGACGATACCGGCAGGCGACTATGTGCTCGTGCCATATGATCTCCTTGACGAATACAATTCTGTCCCGGAGAGTGTGTTCAGTCCTCACGCGCCGTTCGATCAATTTGTAGAGAAATATCTCACCGACATCAACATCACCTCGCGAGCGTTGATATTTTCGGTTCGGCAAGACTTAACGCCGTCTCTAGGTGCGAAAGCGCGTTGCAAAACACCTGTCTCAAGGTGGACGCTGACCAGGTGCGGCAGGCAAGATCACGCCCGCTCTATCTTCAGTCGCAGAGAATGCTGTTATTTCTCAGCTCCCTCCTTGCGATGAGTGGACGGAGGTAGATCTTCACCATGCTCTAATCAGTCAGGTAACCATCGTCTCGGGCTGGGTGTTCGTAGGGCCTGAGTACTGCCACACCAAGGAGTACAAGGACCTCGCAGCCGCGTATGCAGCTGATGCATTCGGGGGCCCAAAGATGCTGCAAGCATTCCCTTCGTGGCTTCGCCCTTTGGCAGCGCCGTTTCTGCCGCCACTCCGACGTGTCAAGCGGTTCCACCAGCGGATCCTTGACTTGCTTGGTCCTGGAATTGAGCGTCGGAGGAAGCAAATTGCCGAGAACGAAGCACGCTCTGCGGATATGCTCGACTGGCTAATCAAGAATGCTCATCGTTTTCCGCACGATATCAGCTCTGATTACGATATTGCGCGTGTTCAGCAGTCTCTCAGCGCGGTGGCCATCCATACAACAGCGCTGACGGCAGTTGCGACGTAAGTAGGAAGTGGCCGTATTGGGAAGATGTTCTTGTGCTTAATCGTGTAGCTTGTACGATCTTAGCTGCGAGCCCAAGATCATGGAAGACGTCCGAAGCGAGATTGGAGAAGTCCTCCAAAGGAACGGCGGGCAGATGACATCCCGGGCTCTCTACGAGATGAAGCTGCTGGACGCCGTCTGCAAAGAGTCTCAAAGACTCAATCCGGCGGACCTACGTAAGTCTCCCCTTGCTGCAATGGCTCTTGCTGACGCATACCAGTTTCCGCTCGACGCAAAGTCATGAAGCCTTATACATTCTCCGACGGCGTTGAAGTGCCTGTTGGGGCCATGTTGGCTGTGCCGGTTTACACGTACGCCCGGGACCCTGCTCAGTTTCCGCAGCCTGACACATTCGACCCATATCGCTTCACGCGGCTTCGAGAGAACGGCAGCAACGACCACCTTCAATTTGCTTCGGTGACCAACGGAACTATGGCGTTCGGCTGTGGGAAGCACGCCTGTCCGGGACGATTCTTTGCCGCGCTGGAGATCAAGCTGCTAGTGATTCACCTGTTGCAAGCCTTCGACTTCAAGGCCATCCCCGAGGCTGATGGCGTAGTGAGGCGGTACCGGAACATGGAGTACGACAGCATGGTATGTGACTCCAAGTGTATTCCAGTCGTCGTGAGCACTGCTGATGGCGATGCAGAATATGCCTGACGTGACCAAGAAGCTGTTGTTCAAGAAGCGCGTGAGTTAGACAGTCGCTCATTGTCGAAAGTCCTGATGATGATGATATTGATGATGTGGACATACTTCAGGCAGTGTCGCGGCTGCAGTACGCGCTCGACGTGAGGCTGGGCCCGCGCCCGGCCCGCCGTCAATGGAGTGGTGGGCAGAGCCGTCCGCGCCTTGATCGGGATGTGGTCATGGTGTAAGTCTATATATAACAAACCTCGTAGGCCTCAATCACATACGGCCACAGGCAGCTGACCAAAGACGATCCCGTCCGCTCTCGTGTACTTAAGCAGCTGACCGTGAGATTAGTACTACGGTGGGTGACCACGTGGGAATACCTCATGCTGTATGTTTTTGCACTCTTGCCATTCTCCGGTGCAGATCTTTCCTTGAGCTTTCCATTCATTTGACGGCGGAAAGAAACCATGGCTGAAGCGATCGAAGGTTGCGTCTCTCCGTCAGCTTTCGTTGGCCCCGTTCTTGCCTTTTCCTCGCCTCCACGAAATCGACTCTGCAGCTTTAAGCTCACTTGCAGAACCTCCACCTGGTTTGGTCTATCTTTGCACCAATTCCGACAGCCAATCCCTGCGATGGTTCGCCGCGCGTGGATTGGAGTATTGCTTTGCGTCCTATAGCAAGCTCTGTGAATGGTATGGTCTGGTGCAATGGCGGCCTTGTCAGCCTGCTCGAACGGGGAATACCTTGAACGGGCGACGATGGTGTGACGCTTCAGCTAAAAACAGCTATACTGCACTACGACGACGTGTTCGCAAGAAAAGAGGTGTGTGGGTGCCCAAATAAGATTGACCACTTAAAGTGCATGTTTGGTACACCAGTTCGAGAGAGTCGGTTTGTCTCCCTCAAATTCTTAGCCCTTCAAAGCCTCTCATTGCAACCGAACCTCAAGCAGTCCCCAAAGTCTGCGGTAAGCCAGTGTGGTGCTGTAGAGCAGCTTGGCAGGGATGCCATACCTCTGGTGCTTCTTCCTATCTTCTTTGATCAACCTCACCGCCGCGCTGAACTGCGAAGCCATCGATCACCATGCCCAAGTCATCCAACGAGACGTGGCCGTCGTAGGAGGAGGCAGTGCCGGAACCCACACAGCAATCCGACTCCATCAGCTGGGCAAGACCGTAGCTCTCATCGAGCAGCAAGACCGACTCGGAGGCCACACCAACACCTACGTGGATCCGGCGACGAAGCAAACCTTCGATTACGGCACATTCATCCTCGGCAACACCACCGACGTGCGGAACTACTTCGACTACCTCGACGTACCGTTGAAAAATTACACCGGCGAATCCGTTCCCGACGAGAAGACGCTCTATGCCGATTTCGCTCGTCGAACTGCCGTGCGAAACGATAGCGCCGATCCGGAGACCTTGAAAGGAGCGTTGGCCCGCTACGTCGCTCAGCTGGAGAAGTATCCCTACCTCGCATCCGGCTTCCACCTCCCCGATCGCGTACCGGAAGAACTGCTCATTCCGTCCGGAGACTTCCTCGCCAAGTACGATCTCGGAGCGCTGGCGGCTCAGATTTACTACGTGAATTTCGGAGTGGGAAATATCCTGGCCCAGCCCACGTTGTACATGCTGAAGTATGTCATTATACCTCCTCTCGAAAAAGGCGATAGTTGCGAGACTCTGACCGTGGCAGGTATTTCAATTTAATGCAGGTGACGGCGGATATCACTCAGATGCTCGTCACGGAAGCAGATCGAAATCTCCAAGCTCTCTGTATGTCACGGAACACTGCCAAGAGAAAGTATCATCAACAGAATCCAGACTGATGCTTTGATCTAGACGATGCAGCACTCCACCGCCTCGGCGATGGCGGTCAAGCCTTCCTCAGCAGCCGCATCACTTCCATCTGCCGCAATCCCACCGGTATCCTCCTTACCATGCAAACACCCACCGGCCCCAAAACCATCAAAGCCTCCAAGCTAGTCATGGCGATCCCACCGAAACTCGAAAACCTCCAGCCCTTCTTCGACCTCCGCACAGACGAAATCCAAGCTTTCCGGCAATTCAACAACACTTACATGTGGAACGCCGTCATTGCCAATACCGGCTTTCCCGCCGATACGGCCATCCGGAACACCGATCCGCGAGCTACATATGATATCCCAGCCATGCCCGCGATGTACAGTTTCGCGCCGGGATTTTCCGGGCTGCATGCTGTCTGGTATGGTAGCGCAGACTACATGTCCAACGAGGAAGCGGCAGAGCAGATGCTCCTGAGTGCTCGTCAGGTTCAGACGGCTTTTGGGTATCAATCGCCTGAGGGGACGGAGCCGACATTGTTGAAGTTTCACGACCATTCGCCGTATGGCTTGAGTGTCTGTGTGGAAGCCATCCGGGATGGATTTTATGGTAGGCTGAACAGGTTGCAAGGCATGAGGGATACGTGGTGGACGGGTGCTGCTTGGGAGACGCATAGTGCGAGTGCGATTTGGCAGTTTACGGAGCGGGAAATTCTTCCGCATCTGGTGGAGATGCCTTTGAATCGGGACCAGGCGAATGTCCTTCGACACTCGCATCATGGACATTCGAGGAGTGAGCCTGTGGAATAGGTTTGTTTTCCAACAAAGATCTCCTTCATCGTCCAGCAAACTGTACTGTAATAATAATTGTACTGTAGTTCCACAGCTGGCTGCCGGATGTTATTTCAAGCCACCAGAAATCAAAATACTCTGCCCGGTCATATATCCCGTCTTACACAGCATCGTGACCACATTAGCGCATTCCAGCGTCGTTCCTGCTCTGCCTACGGGAATGTTCTTCACATCGCCCGGCGTGCCTTTCAAGAATTCCTCGTCGGGGATCATTCCCGTGCCGGTAATCATGGCGGGCGCCACGTCGTTGCATGTGATTCCATTCTTGGCGAGTTTGATGGAGAGGTTCTTGGAGAGGCCTTGGATGCCGGCCTTGGAAGCGGAATAGTGGCAGCCGTTGATGGAGGTGCCGCCCGCTGCGATGGAGGAGATGTAAATGATTCGGCCCCAGTTCCTTTCCATCATGTGAGAGACGGCGAGTTTGGTGAGGATGAAGCTGGCGCGAAGGTTGACCTAAATGTTCGTTCACTCGTATATCAGCCAATGGAGTAAAACTGCGATCTTGGCACAAATCTCACGTTGATGGTGTAGTCCCATTCTTCGAAGCTTATGTCCAAGATGTTTGACGTGCGCTTTCCATAGCCGGCATTGGCAACGAGAATGTCCGGTCGCTGGCCATGCTCAGCGCTGATCTCACCGTATAGTCGAGTCAGGTCTTCCTCCTTGGACATGTCCGCCTGGTGGGCGGTAATTTTGCGGCCACTGGAAGTTGGTATTAATTCCGCGATCAGTTGATCAACTGCGGCTTTGTTGGAGGAATACGTCAGCGCCAGAGCGCAACCTTCCGAGTTAAGATCTCTGGCACATGCTGCACCAATGCTTGAAATTGATCATGAGTGAGTTACATGGCAATCTCTTAAGTGCCGTGCATTGCACCTACCCTCCCGAAGCGCCTGTAGCGCGAGTTCATAGTGTCAGCGACCTGTTTCCTCCGGCCCGTCAAGTGAGGTGAGGCTAGCAAGAGTGCCAGGAAGACAGACCAGTGATCAATGCCAAGCGGCCGACGAGTACGTTGTCCACAGGCATGCTGATAGGTCTGAATCTTCAAGTCCAAGGATTGCAGTCAGATCCCGGTCCGATGACAGCTTATAGAGATGATTGAGAGGAGCAGAAGCAGCAATGCCAATTGGCTATGCCCGTTTACTAGAGGTACGAATCGTGTATCAAGATATTAAAGGTTATATGCGAGTGTGTTTCTCGGGTTGAGAGATTCGTGATAGGAGCGGAGAAGGGCGGGCGGAATAAAGTTTCGTGCCAGTCCGAGGTAAGGTAGTGGGTACACAATAATTCGGCCAGGGCCGAGCCGACTTACTGGGGACGGGTTGAGGCCTCAGGCTTCCACCACTGCGTTCCGCGAGGTTCTTCTTGTACGCAATGAGTCCAGATCCAAATGCGAGCACACGGCGCACTCCCTTTCACACCCTCATGATGCTCGCAGATCCGCAGAATGCGCCACTTCGGTCATAGAAAAAGTCGCGAAAGGTCTGCCAGGCCTGCAAATGCCGCCGCCAATTGCCATCTTCACGTTTGGATGCACAATACAGGCGCACGACGCATAATCAAGGATCGAAAATCTCTTCGATCCCCATTCTCCTTTCCCAAACGCCGCGCTCACCCAGAAAAATCGAATGCTGCACCCTCTAACACAACTCAATCAACCACCAACTCCCCAATCCTCAGATCAGGATCATAATTGGTAGGTCCCTTGATCGGATCATACGCCCTCTCGGCCCATCCGTTCCGTACCGCTCCACTGCCATCCTGCACCACCACCACCACCGACTTCCCCACATCCAACGGCTTCGCAGGCACATTCTGCGGCTGCATGGTGCTCTTAAAGACAGGTTTCTTCTTGTTTGTCAGAGGGATAGAGGGTGTGGCGACGGATTTGAGGCCTGAATTCTGGGTTTCCTGTTCGCGCGCTCGCGCGGCGAGGGTGGGGTCTTTGGAGATCTGTTTCATTTCTTTGAGACGCTGGGGAAGTATCGCAGGGTCAGTAAGTGCGGGGATTTTGGGGTTTGGGGGCGGACGATACCTTTCGATGTTGATGGTCGTAGGAACCCTCGTGGGCTTCGAACTCGTTCATGCGGGCGTAGCCTTTTTGGCACAGTTGGCCTTTGGGAAGAGACGTTAGTGGACTGGTAGTTTCTTTCTATCGGAGCCGAATTGGGATTTTCGTCTCACAGAAGAAAGATTTTCGAGCTTCGCGGGCGCTTTCTGTTGCCGCTTGCGGCAGTGCTTGGCCGTGCTGGAGGATGTCAGATAAATCCAAGACGTTGCGGGCGGAGATTCTTACGGCTGGCATGGTGTGCGTTGTTGTGTTTTTGACGTTTCAATTATGCTTTTTAGCGGCTGAATTCTTTTGGAGGTAGACCGGCTAATGGAGAGGAAGCTGAGTTATGATTGTGAGGTGGAAGATGAAGGGTGAAGGGTGAGGTCAAGAAGAGGTAAGCCGTTAGCGTCAAATTTTGATGGTCCGTGCATTGCCAGCTTCTTCTCCAGATCCACCTCACGTACAACGCGTCTTTCTACGTCTGTAAATCGACTTATTGCCCGAAGATTAGTGAGGCCTATACTACTATAAATTTTTAGACCCTACTAAGCCGCCAGTAATGAACCATACCTCAGGCCCATATCCGGTCGAGCACGCCGCGGATCTAGTGCGACGATGCTCGCAGACCACGAACGACATGTGAGGCAGTGGACAGTGGTCAAGACGCAGGTGGTCAGGTGTGAGCAGAGGATGGCGAATATGTACGTGAGAAAGACAGATTTGGGCGCTGCAATGGTTTTAGGAGAGACTACTTCTTGAACCACTCCTCCGGCGGCTAGGACAAGCCCGTGCCTGACTCGCTTGACACTGTCTCTTCTTGCCTATTCTATAGAGGGTTAGTGGCCACGAGCGGGTTCATGGATTGAGCATAGCACGAGTACAGTGGACTAATGGGTTTGTCAGCGGGACCAAGCGTCGAAGAGAACGGGGAGGACGACATACTCAGCGGCTCCAGTCCAGCCCACACACTTCCAGCAGTTGAAGAAATTGGTCGGGTCGTACTGCTTCTTGATGTCGAGCAAGCGACCGTAGTTCTCCCCAAAGAAAGCCGTCTGCCAATCATCTTCCAGCACGTCCGCCTCGTTCATGTAGCACCCGCCTCCCGGCGTGATGTCACGCAGATTGTCCATCGAGGTATGCACAAGGCCAGTGATGGCATCTTGTGCTGCTTGAGGCGTCCCCTGTACCCAGCCGCCGGCGTAGACGACTTCCCAGAGCTCGTCGCGCCAAGCAGTGTTCACGCCTGTTTCGCTGCCATCTTGATTTGGCGCGTTCGGCCCACTGGGTCCGGTGACATAGACTTGCGCCGCGATTGGCTTGAGGGCGTCGAGTGGATTCTGCGATTCCTGCAAGCCGGCAAGGAAAGCCTTGACCAATGTGGCGATGGAAGCGTCATCGTTGAATTGGGACCGGGGGATGAAGCGACCAGCAAGTGCCTCGGCATAGCCTTGTGGCGTGTTACGAACAGCGGTCGAAGTGGTGTAGTCGGCAAAGTCAGTTTGATGCTGGAAAGTGAGGTATTCGTTCTGTTTGATAGTCGCGCCAGGAATCGCCTCGAGAGCCGCTTGGTATGCCGCATTGAGGTCCTTGAACCTTGCCAGGGCGTCCTCATCGCCAGCTGGTAGAACTTGGTAGGTCTCGACTCGCTGTGGGTAGTAGAAATTGTAGCTCGAGATGTTGTTGTCGACAAACATTTTCTGATTGTTGGCAAGGGCGGTCACGGCGGAGGACAAGGCCGGACTGTTGATTGGCAACGCGAAAGGTTGTTGTGCAAATGGTGACAGGTCAGCTTGGAAGGCATAGAAGTACAAGGGCACTTCTGGGAAGACCTTGAACTTGTAGTTCAACAGAACGGCGTAAGTGCTACCACCGCCACCGCGCATGGCGAAGAACAAGTCGGGGTCGTTGCATTGGTTGATGGTGCGCACGCGACCATCAGCAGTAACAACGTCGAACTCGCTGTCACACGTTAGCAAATTTTCGAGACGGGAGTGGAGTGGTGTATCCTACAGCGCATTGTCGACCATCAGTCCATACTTGGGTCCGAGTGCGCCATGACCGCCACCCTGACCGTATCCTCCAGCGAGTCCTACAGACTGTACGGCACCTGCTGTGATTTGCATCCCCTTGCTGGTGAAGTAGGCCTCGGCTTCGTTCGCTGCGATACCTGCACCCATGATTCCAACATTGGGGTATTGGACAGCAGGGCAGTCGGTGGCAGTCCAATCTTCTACATAGTCCAGACTCTTCATGTTCCATGTCCATAATGCGAGAGAGTTGGCAGCTGCGGATCGCCCGACATAGTCGTCGCCGGTGTTCTTGATCGACATGAAGATGTTGTGCTGCTTGCAGAAGTTGATGGTGCTTTGAACATGCTCTGGCGTAGTGGCAGCGACGTAGTAAGCAGACATGCGTCCTAGTGAGCATTTGCGGAGGATGGGTTGTAGGACTTGAGGCGCGGCACTCTGCAGCTGGCAGTCCTGAGCTCCGCAGCTCTCCCAGTTGAGCTGTGAAAACGAGCCGTATTGTGCCTCGCGATAAGGCCCACAGGGCACATTCATCGGGCCAACCAGCGGATTATCGGCGTAGTGTTGCTCGACATAGGCACATTCCGTAGGATCGTAGGCTGTTCCAAAGGATAGACCGCTAAAGCAAGGCTTCGCCCAAGGAACGGTTGCTTGAAGCGCCCCCTCGACGGTCTGATTAAATTCTTGCCATTCAGCGTCAGTTGGCCAGCAGGGCATATCAGGAGTGCAGTTGTAGATAGTGTCGGCAGATTGGCGACCTGCCCTGGGTCGAGCGACTACCTGCGTGATAAGTGCAAGCGCAGCGACATAGTGCAGACCTGTTGGGCTGGTCGAGTTTACCAACACAGGGGGATAGGGGAGCGGTGGTTGCCGTCGGATGGAGAGCAGAGACAGCTGGATCGAATAGTGCTTGCCCAAGAGAATTGGACACTGGACGTCCGCATGTTGCGGCCTTGTATACCATCGTGCAGAAATTGGCCCCCGGCATGCCTCGGGATCATCCAAAGAATTCGTTTCGTCTGTTGTTTGACTTCTAGTCATCGTCCATAGAGTGTAATTAGCGTAGGATCACTCCGAGAACAGCTAGAACGACGGGTGTACTTCGAGACACACCGCCGGCTTCCTATGCAGTTGACCACCTATAAGAAATCGACCTCGGCGTCTTCGCTGCGGGGCAAAGGCCCTCACGATGAGGCATCACAGTATGACCTTAGGATTAGAGTAGGATTAGAGGTGATGTGATTTCAAGTCGGAACACGTCCCCACTCACAAAGCAAACATAACAGTGAACGAAGTGTGTGATCTATTGCTGCGTGTGAGTATCAGGATGAAACAGCCTGGCGCAAGGGAGAACTAAGCTTTGACGTCTTTGAACCAATCATGCACCCCTGTCCGCGTTAACCCGCAGTGTTACGGAGATTTTCTCCACAACCCCACAACACACCGCCCGCCCGAGAAGGAGGTACAGCCGATTGTGACGTGAATCTAGCGCCGGTAGACATCGTGGAAGTGGTCTAGAAGAGGAATGCAGACGTACGCCAGGTTGACGGGACTGAGCGACTGAGCTTATCAAGACCATAGTCTCATAACTATCTACGTACCCTGGGCAAAAGCTACGAATCCCTGCCACTGGCTCTGTGCGTGCGCATTGAAGTCCCAGCCGTCCACACAACTGCTACCTGGGTACGTCTGCCTCGGCTGGCTGGGAGCCGTGCACATTCTTCTTGCAAATGCTGCGACGACATCATTCGAACCGGAGCGATACTTGACATCGCTGAATTCGACAAGATCCCCCAACGGATATCCATAGCCTTGATCCCACATGCCGTCTTGGTTGGCTTGCATGGGCGCCGAGGGTGGATTCATAATGATACTGGTCCAGGAAGGATAGGCGGATCCGAGGTTTTTGGTTTCAGCGATGTATGCGTTATACGTTTTGCCATTGTCAGTGGAGCCGTAGTAGGACAGCACCGCACGACCAGTCTGGTTGGGGTGATGGTACAACGTGGGCAAGTACGCCATGACGTTTGACGAAAGACCGCTGCCTGGCGCACCAATGACGATGGCATCGGACCAAGTCTGTGCATTGTCTGTAGAGCGAGACAGACGCAGGACGTAGCTGGGGTCGACCCAGATGGAGTAGATGGTCCCTTGATTGTCTTGCGAGATGGGCTCTGGAACGAGCACGTTGCCATCGAATTGGTACCTGGACGCGACATGAGTTGGACGAACGTAGTGCTTCTTCGAGGTGTGAAAACTTACGTTAAATCTCCGACGATGAAGGGAGCCAGGCTGCTTGCCGGTACATCGGAGAGGCGCCAGGAATCGCCTTCATCGTCGCTGATAGCCACGCTCAACTTTTGACACCGTCTCAAGCCATACATGACAGTGCCATTAGGGCGCACAAATCCATCGCCCCAGATGATGAGCTCCTGCTCTGCCAGTGACTGGAGCAATCCAGCACAAGCTCCGCCTGATAGTAATGGTTGCAAGGTGGGCTTGCCTGCCGTCTCGCTCCAAGTCATCCCGCCATCAGTACTCTTCAGAATGAGTTGGTTGATTGGCCCCAGGGGTTGCAACGGGATGGGAGTGCTGATAAGACTCGGTGCGCTATAGTACAAAATCTCCTCTGCTGAAGAGCTGAGCTGAGATCTAACCGGTCTCCCGCCTACAAGTTTGGCCCAATCCTGAGACATCGTATCGAAATGCGATTGATTGAGATTAGTCCATGTCTTGCCTTCATCATCCGAGTAGCTGAAGGAGAATCCAGGAATAGAGGACGACCAGTAGAAATAGCGATCATTGACCTGACGTTTCCGGAAAACAGGTTGGACTCGAGGCTGGGCCGAGCCTCCAGGGAGGACTTGCTGCCAGGTTGAACCATTGTCGTTGGAAGTCGCATAACCAACACCTTGATTCGTGATTGCGGGTGAGTAGATCAAAGATCCATCGGAGGCAAAATCGATGTTCGATTCAGCTGCACCAAGTCCGGTGTATTCGTAAGATGGGTTCGACAGGCCCGTGGAGACTCCGCCTGGCGAAGGGAAGAGCGGTCCAGATGTGTAGGTGAATGGTGCGTTACCAGATGGGCCACCATTGACTGCCAACACAGTCTGCACGCTCAGAAGAGCAGGCAACAGGCGTGGGATCATGTTGAAAATCTGTCGTTAACAGTGGCTGCACGCCGCTGGATGCCGTTTACTCTTAAGACCGTAATAATGTGATTCATGGAGCCCCCCCTGCATGCAGCCTGCCGCCAGCCTCGGCAGCCTCGGCGGGCGAGCAATTGTTCTCATTTCCTCTCCCGCTTGCCTCTGCGCAACGATGGAGGCCATCGCTTCAGAAATGCCGCAGTGACAAAGTGGGTTGTCGGCCTGCAGTCAATAATCCTTGTCTGTGGCGCAGAAGCCCCGCTCTGTGCGTCCGCTCACACGCTTGAGAGCCTAGTGCCTCAGAATTGGAGAAGAGTGTTGCGGAAACAGCGGCAGTAGAGGGCTCGACTGGTACTTTTCGGTGGCGGAGATGAAGGAGTGGGTAGTTTTGCCGGTCCTGTAGTAACAAGAGATTCATGAACAGCCCCACGAGTCTGGGCCTTCTTATTCTCCGCGGGTGGCCTTGCGTGGACCAATCTCGATTGGCGGTGATGGAGCTGGAATACCAGGGAAATGGGCGGAGTCTTGTGACATTATTTCGCGCTTGGAGGCTGTCTGCGCTCGTTGGTACTCCAGACCATAGGCGTTTGCCAGGTCGTCCAAAAGGAAAGGGCGCCTGAATCTTTTGTCAAGTCGTTGAGCGAGCGTAGCAAGCTGGAGATGTTGTCCCAATTCGCGATGGTCCGGACCGCATTGACGATGATGTCGAACAATGCTGTACCTTAAGGTATGTACTGATGTACCCGTCGGTCAAGGCTGAGGGATTCGGCAGGAACAAGACAGCTGCCTCCTTCTAAGACGCGATCCTGGATATTAGTTTCTCCGAGCCGGCTTGGCTCATATCCCACTCCAAATGAGATCAGGTATCAAAAGCATACCTTCTTGATAACACCATCTAAATGATGTGCTTGGATATTTATGGATCATGCTGTAGACGATGAGAGGGCTGTTCATGGGAAAGTGGGGTATTATATTAGAAAGTATGGGACTAGGCAGCAAGACAAGGTAAGAGTTTCAGCTGAGACGGCGAAAGATTATAAGCGACTGAAGGAGTCAAGTATTGTGTTTGACCAAATTGCATTATTCATAACCTTTTCCCGACACTGTATAGTATTATGCTCTTCCCGTCCAGGATTGGCCCCGAAAACAGCGCAATGCTCATCCCCATGAGTGTAGTTCCCGCTGAACCACCCATAAACTCCTTGGGTGCTCATTCTCTTCTGATACCTGAGGATCACACGGCTATTGCTTCTTGAAGAAAACCTCATAGCCTTCTAGCATCTCCTTCGTAATACCTTTCTTCTGTTCCTGTAGGCCTAGCTTAAAGTCCTCCGCAGTGACTCGAACTTCCTCATGCCTACTGAGCAAGTGTCTCTCAACCGCTGGTGTCTTCGCAATCTGAACAATGTTGACGATCTCCGCGCCCGAATAGCCTTCCGTCGCACCGACCAGGCCGTCGAAATCGACGTCGCCGGAGAGGGCCACACCGCGTGTTGCAATTGAGAGAATCTCTTTCCTAGCTGCCACCCCTGGAGGGCCGAGATAGACGTGCTTGCTGAACCGTCCAGGGCGCATCAGGGCCGGATCAAGGCTCTCCGGCTTGTTTGTCGCTGCTAGTATGAAGACGTCCCTCAGCGTGTCGAAGCCATCCATTTCGTTGAGGAGAGTCGTGAGCACATTGAGTCCTTTGGTGCCTTCATTGGCGCGATCTGAGCCAATGGCATCAATCTCGTCGAAGAAGATGACGCATGGTGCGGCCGTCTTGGCTTTGCGGAAAACCTCTCGAACGGCGCGCTCGGACTCTCCAACATACATGCTCAGCAGCTCGGCACCCTTGATGGCGATGAAGTTGAAATTGTAGGTGTTGGCAACGGCTTGGGCGGTGAGAGTCTTGGAACAGCCAGGTGGGCCGTAGAGGAGAACTCCTCTCGGCATTGGGTATTTCACCCTTTCGAGGACCTCTTTGTGAAGCAAAGGCCAGCCAATTATCCTGTCAAAGCTTTTCTTGACGGTTTCGGATCCGCCAATGTCTTCCCATCGAACTTTTGGCTTCTCGGAGAAAATTTCGCGAAGAGCTGTGGGCTTAGATAGTTCAAGAGCAGCCTACAATGTCGAGGTCAGTAGAGGTCTCAGAAACATGGGCAGAGCAAAAGGCTTAGTAAATCCCCTAGCGGCGAAGAATAGGGGATGCGTCGGGGATGGATTCCATACCTTGAGATCTCTGAGCGTGACCTCGGATGTTGGATGGCTTCCAGCCCCGCCATTCCAGCACCCATCAAGTAGATCAGGCACCTCTTCGTACGCTGGAGGCGTGGGTGAACGAGCCAATTCCTGCTGCTCACATTCCTCCTCGTAGCGGTCGTAAGCGATGACCTCGGCGTGGCCATACAGGGCTTCGATATCTGCTCCGGTGAAGCCATGGGTCTGCGCTGCTACTGCAGTTGACATGGTATCGGTTGCGAACATTGGCTTTCCTTGCAGGACATTGAGGATCTGCTCTCTTGCCTCAGTGTCCGGGATAGGAAGCTCTAAAGACCGACGGAACGTTCTCGAAACGGTGCTGTTCAAGCTCGTCGGTGATCGTGTTGAGGCTACGATCATTACTTTTTGGCCGGAGAGGGACGATATTGAAGTCGCCAGGATCTCGGAATATGCCACGTCATCCGTGGGCGTAAGAGTGTCCAGGTTGTCCAGAAGGACCAGGGCCGGCTGACTCTTGCCAGCTTCTCTGAAGGAGTCTTGGATGATGGCCTGGTTTTTGGAGATAGAGCCGCCAGTCAGTCTCGCGCGATCGACCCGAACGACCTTTCTGAGGCCTTTCATCTCCGCCAGCGCGTTCATGAGCATGCTCTTGCCAGTCCCTTCGTATCCATGTAAAAGGACCGGAGGATTGGGATTCCCGCCTGTGGAGCGACTGGAAGTTGTGTGCAGCAGTCTGCGCAATTGGCGATTCAGGATTCGGGACTGTTCGAGTAGTCCTCCTATGCGGCTAAGATCCAGGCCAAGTTCAATGTTGTTGTTCAAGTGAATCGGTGTAGTATTGACACCTGCTCAATCGTTAGTATCTCAACGAGAAGTGGAACTCCAACGCCGACGGATCTCCTTGTCGGAGCTCGGTCTCGAGCGTATGGATGAAGACAACCGTGTCTCGACGTTTTGGACAGGACCAAGACCACCGAAGAGGCTCCCGCTATGTCCAATCGGAGTCCATCGAATCGAGACAGCGAAATGCAGAAAGCTTACCGTTGACGTTGGCTAGGGCAGCGCCCGGCATGATGAGTTGAGTGTTATCACAGAAGCAAAAGAGACAGGCGGATTCCGTTGGCGCATTCTTTGCTTCAATGCTCTGCTGCAGTCAGTGCATTGTGCCGCGCTCGTCTCGGGGTGATGCAGGCTCACCTCGATGTAAAAGCGCTTGCGAAACTTCCTCCTGCCCACCACATCGAACGCGATTCCTGGAGCCAGGGCCTCGCAGTTGGTGAACAAATTGGTCGTTCTCGTTCTCCAGCATCCATCGTCGACATCGTCGGGCTTGTTGTACTCGGGCGGTGTCACGTCGGACAGAACGATCCTGTCGGCGCGAACGATGCTGGCGCTTGTTCTCGCAATGGTGACGGTCGAGCCCTCCTCGAAGCCAAAAGCGCTGCGAATGGTCTCTGTCATCTTGGCGGGTCTGTTCTTGGGGCGAGTGCCCATGCGGTCGTCGGCGCGCCATGCGATGCCGTAGCCGTGAGATCCGTCCTCGCTGGAGATCTCGCAGACGTCGCCTAGCTTGAGGCCCGCGTGTTGCAGGCTCTCGGGTAGCACGTGCACACGGAAGGCACCCTCGAGGCCTGTGGAAGGAAGTAGTCTGACGACGACGTGTAAGCCGTCGGCGACATGCATGGTGTTCTGGTCGTTGGTGCCACGCTTGTTCAACTTGTTGTTGCTGTTATTGTTGCCGGCCGTGGGAGTCGCTGATGGCTGACTTGACATGACCTCACGTGGGAAGTCGTAGGTTGATGCTTTATAGAGCCAGTACATACAGGCTGTGTAGGTAGCGGACACTAAGGTGGGAGAGATCAGGGGCGATCGAGGGCCGAGTTGCGGGCAGGGCCGGGCAGGGCAGGTGGGATGGACGCCGACGGGAGGGACAAGTGCAGCAGCACCCGACGGAAGGGGGATGTCGTCTAGCGGAAGGAACGAGGAAGGAGCGAAGGTGTGGCAGCCGCGTGCGCCAATCCGCCACGCGAGCTGTGCGTGCAAATGGGACTTGCCGGTGTGTCAATCGACGGCTTTCTCTTGCGAAGCATCAGAGGGAGAGAGGAAAGACAGCAGGTGGCCGTGGCGGTGGGCGCCAAATTTTGCGTAACCGGCGGGAGAAGGGCGGGTCAGCAGAAGAAGCGAGTTGCCTACCGGTGCTTGCGACTCGATTGCTAGCGGCTGTTGAATGTCGGCCAGCGAGAGTCGGAGAGACAGACGGACAGACGGACAGAGCTGTTGCTTGTTGCAGGAGGACGTTGCACGAGATCCCGTCAGCTCGTTGGATTTTCCTCTTCCGCCCTCTGTGATTGCCTCGTCTCTCGTCTAGCTAGCGAGGCGGCCGCTCCTTCCCGCTGCGGGTCTAGCCTGCGGGCCGGCCACGACTTTTCGCTCCCAAGGCCCCGGTCTCCTTTCGCGTGCTACCGACCTCACCTCTTGCATCTGAGAAGGAATAGCTTCTGCCCCATCCGTCTTCCCTCGTTGATGCTCCCGATTGATGCTGACAGCGCGACTCGCATCTCGGCGCATTGTGTCGCGGCCATGGGTCGTTGAACCGCTCTCCCACACACGCCACAAGAGCGACAAATCAGGCCGCCTGCGAAATCCTTCCATCACCCACTTCCGTCCAGACGTCTCCTATGCATCCCGCGAAAGGTCTTCCAAAACAGCTACCCGCTCGGCTCCCTTCTCGCCTTCTACCGGCGGCAATTCCGATGTCCGTGTGGGTTCACAGCCGACGGCCGAACCGACCAGCGCAGACCTGAGATCTGCATCCTCACGACCGCACGACTCAGAACAGCCGTCTTTGATTGAACAACTCTTTCCCGAAGAGTCGAAGCGCCACGAACGAGGGGCAACGCGCGAGATACCGCGTCTTCCCATAGAGACTCTGTCGCAGACACCTCCTTCTAGGCCGGTCAAGAGACCTGGTCCCAGAAAATCACCCGCAGCTCGGAAGCTGGAAGCTCAAGTAACGGCCACCCACGATCAGACTGCTGTACTGGTACTCCGCAATGCAAGTCGTAATTTGACCGAGGAAGATTTCCGACGCCTTATACCTCAGGGCAGACACATCGAAGGCTGGACTCTCGACCAAGGCGACTTCTACAAATGCGTTCCGGGGAGAGATTTGGAAACACTGGCCCAGACTAATGTGTACTATCTGCTCTTCAACTCAGCCCTGAATGCCTTCATCTACCAAGGACATGCCATTCGCATCTCCCGGCTGGTAGCGATTCATATACCAAGCGACGTCACCTCTCCGGTACCACCTCCTCCCGCGTACATACGGGATGGACTTGATATCCGCTCCGCCATCGAAGCATACGCTCTGACTCCGCCGACGCAGAAGTTGGAAATGCGCCTCCTCAAGCCACCTCTGAAGCCTCTCATGAAGGCACTAGCTAAGCATGGCGCTTATCCCATGATTTCGCAGAGACCAGACAAGATGCCATTTGAGGTGCGACTCACTCTGGAAGGGCCTCAGTTGGGACCCAGTATGATTCGCCATGTCCTGATGCAAGCCGGCAAAGCGAGGGGGCTCAGTTGGTCAGGATCCGATTCTGCAGAAGTCTCGATCAACAGGTACAAGCCGCGAACCAATGTTTCACCGTCCGATACAAGCGACCGTCTCGCCCAGCACGTCTTCAAGGACTTTGAAAATCACAAAGAGACGGCGGAGGAAGCGGAACACGGGACATCCAGTCCTGGACTGGCGACGCCTCAGAAAGCAGCAGCGCCAACCCCAGCGCCCAAAGTCCGGACCCCTATACCAGTCTACATTGCTGGCTTCCAAACCGAGGGCGCCGCGCGCAGCTTTACTTCGCACTGGCACCGTCGACAACTGCCCGTGGATGAACAGGTTCAGCGCGATTTGGAGGGCGAGTTGCCTCCTATAATAAATGCAGAGTACCTCTGGTAGAATAAATCGTCGAGTCCTTGCTCACCTGTTTTCGTCAACTTGAATTGAAGCGAGAATTCTGTAACCAATTGATACACCTGAGCGGCGCGAGGTTCCTCTCGCTCTTGAGGCTTGACAATGAGGATCGATTTTCTTCCCGGGCGTCTTGAACGCTTGCTCATTCTTCTTAGCTTGTGCTGCGCCATTCCTCTTCAGATCCGTCTTCGCTTTGTAGCTACAGTTCACACGCTTGAGTGAGGTAAGCACGTCGAGTAACAAAAGGCCGGTAAATTGAACGGGTAATCCACCGCCTCCGAGGATGCATATGATCCAAAGAATCAAATTTCGGAGTCTCAGAAAGCACGTTCGAGATAGGGTTTCGATGCGCCTGCCGTCGGGTGTTGCCGTAGTGGCTTACAGCACCTTCCTACTACGATACTACGAGCTTCGAGGCCGCCCGCTCCGCCACCTTCGAGCGTAATACTACAGTATCTTCTGTTAGGCCTCTTCTCTTCTCTTCGTTACGAAACTACGGAAGTGATCGCCCCTAACCGCCCGTAATCGTCCGTAGTAGGATTAGTCCCTAGACTTCTCTATACTAGCCGTACCTACCCTAGTACGCTCTACTTTACTCGCGTAAGTCGGCGCTAGATTAGTAGAGGTAACCGAGATAGAGATAGGACGCCTACGTACCTTATATATAGTCTAGACGCCTACGTTCTCTTAGATAGTATAGCCCGACGCCTATATCTATAATAGCGAGATCGCCTACTTCGCTACTAGTACCTTTAATACGATAGCCTAGTACGTCTACTACGCTATAGTAGGTTTTACTACCGTAAGCTCGATACTACTACTAGCTAAAAACTCGATACTACTACTAGTAAGAAAGAAGCTAATAGCGTTAGGCCCTAAGACTAAGCTATTAACGAGCCTCTCCCTATTACTATAGGCCTCTATAAGTAAGTACGCCGTAGCCTCCCTACCTAGTACTCTAGTAACTTTAAAGAAGCGCTATCTCGCCTACGTAGTATAGTAATACTAAGAATAGCCTAACTTCTACTCTAGTATTATAGCCTACTAGCTAAGTGACACCAGGTGCATGGAACCCTCTTCAACTTGTAATCACAGGTCGATGCTGTTGTACAATAAAGTGACCTCGTCATTGTATTGCCTCTTGTCGCACACCTTCTGCTTCACGAAGTCATCTGACTGCTCTGACCAAAAATGCGACAGACTGCGAGTGAAGGCAGTTTCTTCGCTCAGGGACGGCTGAAAGCCAAATTGTCGCCAGATGTGATCCTCCATGAGATTTGGCATTGCGTTAATCGATGTAAGGCAGTTGTAGATCCAGTATTCTCCAGAAACCCAGGCTCTGCGTATGATTTCTCCGAGCGGGAGACTAGAGTTGACGCGGATTTCTTCTTCTTCAAGTACTTGCAAGAAGTCCTCCACATGTCGATTATACTCCTCTAGACACTTCTTAAGTCCATCGATATATTGTGCAGAGAACCAATATGGCACCTCCAGCATGCTAGGCGGAAGAGAGCATACGAACTCCAGGTCGATGACTCCAACGATGTTCCAATTCTCGTCCACGAAGAGATTGCTAGCGTGGAGGTCGGTGTATTGTAGTGCGAATGGCCCTTCTGATCTTTCGACGCCTTTCGCCAGTAGGGTACGTAGCATGATGAAGTGCGACATCTGTAGACGACAATCATCTTCGTCGTGGACTGCGTTGGGCTGAGCTCGGAAAGCCTCTTGTCGAAACTCAAGTTGGCCGAACAAGAAGCGACTGGCATCAGAAGCTGGATGCTGCATCTTACGTGGCGCACCTTCGCTTTCCAATATAGTATTGGCACAAAGCAGTGGGGGGTTTGCCAGAGTGATGGAGCAGTCATCGTTGAATCTTAGGCAGCCGATCTTTGATTGGGGAACACGAGCAAGGGAGAGCATCAAGCGGCTCAAACCTCGATACAAGTTCTGGCGATTTTCGGTACTCGCTTGTTTCTCAGCCCAAGTCGTCGAAAGCATGTGCCCTTGTTCCAGAAAGTCCAACAAAAGGTATGGTGTCTCCGAAAAACTACACGAAGAGATGCGTGTATATGGGGCTTGCATTCGCCGACAGAACAGGGAGAAAATGGCTCGCCGTGCTTTCGCACACCACCTCGACAGTAGAGGGAGCTGCTTGTCGTGCTTGAACTGTTGTTTTTATCAGCAAAGATCTTTCTGTTGCAGTGAGATTTTCCTACATGATGCCCGTTCGATAAGCCGAAGCCATGTAGCTGAGGGATGGGGATGTCCGGGCACAGCTTTTCCACAAACGAGTAGTTAGCCACCTCTACTCGTGTTTTCTCGTCTGACGCTCCAGGTCGGTATCCCTCACCCAGCTTATGGGCCAAGGGACATCGGAAGATCTTTCTCGACACACTGCCATCTTCGTGTGAGACATGTAGCATAACACAGACGTTGAACTGGCCACGCATCCAGGTATCTCTTTCCTGGATCGTGCATTGAGATTGCTGTATTCCAAGATGATGAGCGCAGACAGCTTCAATGGACGCCCGCTGAGACCAGAGAAAGTTGCAAAACTGGGTTGATTCGTTCGAGGAGCGCAAGCGGTGGAGGAGGTTGCGCTCATTTCTGATGGCACCGCTGAGCGAAAACCTGTCTCCGTTTGAGAGTCGGAGAGACATTTGCGAAAGCGATGATAGAAGATTCTTGCGGGAGCAATTGAAAGAGATGGCGCTTAAGTCTCACGTGCTCAAGTCACGAGCCTGTGTTTACGGTACGTCATACACCCCCGATCCCAGAATCCGGATTAGAGCAAATAATCTGCCGTTTCACGCTAGATGTTATAAGTGCGCAGACTAGTCTCTATAATCTCTATAGCCTACGTAAACTTACGTAGGAACTTAGTAGCTAAACTAGCCTTCTTCGAATTATCTAATTAAGTAATATACTTTTTCTCCTAAGTCCCTAAAAGGGTGTCCTAATAACAGTTTTGTATAGGTATAGCTATAGCGGAAGGTGTCCACAAGGTAGGTAGGCAGTAGGAACTAATATGTTAATTAAGTTAATTATCTAGAGCGATATATAATCCTCCTAAACTTAGAGTTCCTAGCTATAGGTTACATAACCAAATTATGTGACTAGCCCTATCTAGTACAGCCGCTAAGGACTGTACTTTCTAACATTTCGGGTATATAAGGCTACTTCGACGCCTAGTACTTTAAGTAATAGATTAGAAGTAACGCTTACTAACTTTAAGTCGGATATAGTAAAGAAGTATAGCGTAGCTATTATAGCTATCGACCTCCGAAGCCTAGAAAATAGTACCTTACTCGTACGCTAGAGTAAGACTCTTAACGATAATAGGTTTATTATTAACCTTTCGGAGGAACGTATATAGTAACTCGAGTTATAGTAGAAGTAGAATAAGCTCCGGGCGGATATTAAAGAAGTTAACCGAGTGTCTACTAAAGTACTAGTATCCCTACTATTACCTAGTACTTCTCGTACTCGGTCGTAAGGTAATACTCTAGCTACTCTATAGGTACTACGCCTTATAAGACTATAGAAGTAAGCTTAAGACTATTACGATACTACTTATAGAGAGGTATAGGCCGAACTCGACTATTTAGTATTATAGTCTACTATTCCTATTACTAAGCTATCCTCTTTATAAACTAACTCTATCGATACTTCTATAAAAGACTTAGAGATACTATTTAGAGAGCTCTATAAGAATTACTATAATAAGTACTTCTATATTCTTATTCTAAAGGCTTAAGAGAAAGTAAAGCTAGAATATCTAGGCTCTCTTCCGACTCTAGAGTTCTACGCCTATAAGCTAATTAAAGTAGCTTAAGAGGCGGACGAGAATAGGTCTAGTCTAGTAGTTTATATCGATAATAATATTATAGATAATAACGTCTCTCTCTATAAAGATTACCTAGTTACTATTAGCTAACGCTATAGCCTCCGTACTTTAGTTCCTATATATAAGATCTAGTATCGACTCCTTACTCTTAGGTAGATTATAATAGAAGAAGGTCTTTAGGACCTACTTACCTATACTAAGCGCTAGTTTCTATCTTACGAGAAGACTTAGGCTACTACTCTACCTCTAGGAGATTTTAAGTACTACGCTACTACTCCTAATAAGGTATTCCTTATACTAGTCGAGAAGTAGCGCTTAATCTTATAGTATAAACTCGGTAACCTTCGGTCTACTCTAGTAGATAAGGGAATCGTAGTTATTCTAGACGTTTTTTAAGTAGATATTTTAGAAGGTTAGCGCTAGTACTAGTAATACTATAACGATTATAAATATAATAGCTAAAGAATACGAGATATACTATTACTATCGCCGCTACGATAGAGAAGGCGTTAATAGTATTTAAGAATTCTCCCTTACCTAGTAAATACTTGCTTAAGATCTATACTACTAGCTTCTCTATATTATCTACTACGAAGATAACGTAACGAACCTTATTACCGAAGTCTACCCTACTCTATACTTCGAAACTACTCTAGATACTAAGATTAATTTTAATACGCTAGAGTATAAGTAGATATT